ACATCTTAACTTCCATCATTCTTTCTGTTAGAGAAGAAATCTCCAAAAGAGATATTTAATTCCACATTTAAAAACTGGAACATATTTGAACACCATAGAAAAGTGGTTAGGAATCATAGAGTATATCTGTAGTGTTCATGGTTATGAATATAGTTCAGGGAATGTAACAAAGTCATTTGCCAAAATAGTGCATTAAATTTCAAGCAGCTTTTTCCTGGGGAGGCAGAATTGAAGGTAGAAGTTAAGGTAGATTGTCAAATTCCTGTTAAACCTTTGCAAGAACATACCACCTTGTAGTTAAACTCAGAATATATAACTTCTCATATAAGACCCTTTAAGGTAACAGGACAGATTGTGACAATCAATTTTTACTCAAAAGGGCTTGCTAAAGGTCCTGTCACCAACTCAGTGATATGTGATATATTAAGGTACAGGTTGTTACTAGGGGGCCAGGCACAGTGGTAAATTTTACCAAACTTATAGGCAGCAGGCTAAGGTGAACAAATTCCCATACCATCCATTCTCTAGACAGTTGCCAAAGTGATGTTTTAAAAACATACATCAGAACTTATCACTCCATTGCTTAAAACCGCCCAGTGGCCTCCAGTTTTTCATAGAAAATGCTTCTTCCCTCCTGCTCTGCTTTCTGGCCATGCTGATCTTACAGTTCCTGGGAGATACCAAGTTCATGCCCACTGCATGGCCTTTGAATTTGCACATGCTGTTTTCTCTGCATAGCTGGCTGCTTCTTGTCAAATTCAGGTGGTCACATTTTGTTGTGGTTAGGGGCATGGGTTCTGGAACCTAACTGCCTGCTTTCAGGTTTAACCTCTCAATGCCTTTGTTTCCTCAACTATAAAAAGTTAGATAATATAAGTAAATGTGTCTTAGTGTTGTGAAGACTGAATACATACAACATGAAGTGCCTCACTCATAGTAAGTGCTAGTTAAGTGTTGGTGTGTTGGCTGTTTTTCCAGTCTTGCATCAGGTATCACCTCCTCAGTAACACCTTTCTTGACCATTTAATCTAAATTAGCCACCCTACCCCCCACATATAGTACTTAGAGTTACCAGAAATTATTTTACTATATATTTACTTTTATTTTTATGTCTCTTTCACTATAATGTAAGCTCCATGAAAACAGGAATATTTTCTGTCTTGTTGGCATTCCCAGTGCCTAGAAGATTATCTAATATATGTATATATTTGTTGAGTGACTTAATAGAAGTCAGGTCTTCTCCAGAATGTCTTCTTAGGTGACATAGGCTGAAAGGCGGCTTGTGTCACTTAATTAAGAGATGTTCTCATTATTATTTGGTTATGTCCTAATGGGATTATTAGGTTATGTTCTATGAATATCTGGTAGGGACTTGTTGAGAATGGTGTAGAGGTAATCAGTAGAAAAGGAGTTGAACCTGGGATTAAAGTATATATTTTACTTTTCTTCTGTTTTTATCTATTTCTGCTGCCTCCAGCTGGTAAGTTCATGTCCTTTTGTTATAAGCCCTTGAGCTTGTGTTTTTTAAGTTTGGGGACAGCTGGTTGCCCCTCAGCATTATAAAGTTACAGCTTTATTGAGCTGCTTCTAAAATAGTGTGAGTAGAAAGTAGTGACACATAACTAGATATTCAGCTGTATATGATAATTTTAGGAATGAGAGGGATGGTCTAAGACCCAAAGTAGGCAATCTGAGAAGACTTGGAATTCCTGAATTATCAGTAGACAGGTTTGATAGCCATTTATTGTTCCCTTATATTTATACCTCTTCCTCTTTTTTCTCATTCACCCTACTTTTTTCTGTTGTTCTTTTCCTATTCTTGTGTTATTTTTTGTTTCTATCATTCTACCTTCATTTCCATGTTCTCCTTCTCTTGACCCTAGTGGGTGTTTCTATTACAGGTTCTCCTGCCATCCCTAAGTAGAGCATTCCTGTAAGTATTTGTAAGCCAAAGTGGTGAAGAAGTGTTACCATTAATTTATATGGAAAAAGTTTTCAGCATTCCCAGACCTCCAAAAAAACATCTCTTAGGCTTTTCTGATAGCTTTGGACACATCTTGTTAACAGATGCACAAAATAAATGGAGAGAAAGCACAGATGTTCACAGACATAGTTCAAAGCTCCGGCTGCTTGATACGCTGTGAAAGCTGATGCACTGTGTTTCCCTGGGAAGGAGCCTTGGGTGCCATGCTTGCTGCTCAGGATGTGTGCTCCCTCTACACAGGCTCACTGCACACATCTGAAGTCAGATTCATTGTCCCCTCAGATGAAATTCCTGCCTCTTTCTTCCCTATTAGCAGAATCATTATTCTCACCCTGCCCACCACCCCAACCAGACACAAACACATCCTATCACATTTAAATTCTGTCTCACTCATTCCACATTAATTCAACAAAGGCCTCAGTTCCCGCTCTGTGCCATGTATGATTCTGTGTTGTGTGGCAGTTTCCTTCCTTCTACATTTACTACCCAAATTCAGGGTCTCAACATGTTATACTTGGCCCAGTGACGTAGTTTTGTAACATTTTTCCCCTTCCAGTGTTTACACACCATCAGATTAATTCTTGAAACCTTGGTTGGATCATGTCATTCCCTGCTTCCTACAGCTAAACTCAGCTTGCTTTTCCAGATACATGTCATATAACTTGTACTTGACTATGTGATCTGCCAATTTGGCTTGCTCTTTTAGAATATAATCCACACTTTCTCATATCCACATTTTTGTTCATGTTGTTCTGTCTCCTGGAAGAATATAAGTTCCCTGAGGGCAGGAGATTTCTTTTATTCACTGTGATATCTGTAGCACCTAGAAAGTACCTGGTGTGTGGTAGGTACTCAATAGATATTTATTGAAAGAATGAATGAAAAGTAATTGAATCCTGTCAATCCTATCCATTTTTTTTTTGAGAGGGCATCTATCATATTTATTGATCAAATGGTTGTTAACACCAATAAAATTCTGTATAGGGGACTCAATGCACAATCAATCAACCCCAAGCCTAATTCTCAACAGTCTCCAATCTTCTGAAGCATAACGAACAAGTTCTTACATGGTGAACAAGTTCTTACATAGTGAATAAGTTCTTACATGGTGAACAGTGCAAGGGCAGTCATATCACAGAAATTTTCGGTTTTGATGACACATCATGAACTATAAACAATCAAGTCAGATATGATTAT